GCTCTGGCCCACCTGACTGATCGTTCATGACACATGACAGGCGTTAAGATTAATTCCCAGTTATAAGCCTCTAAGGCAACTTGTTCCTGTAAGAAAAACAAATCACCTTCTTTATCGTGTCTTTCGCAAGATTCAGCTCGCGCTCTCGTCTCGTGATCTCTTTTTCGACATCGACCTCACGCCTATTCGCCGTCACCTCCACATCCTCCAGAGGACGTGATACTGGGGACCAAAGAATAGGAGTGGATGCGCTGGAGTGATTATCGAAGCGATGACGATCTGTGGGAGGTGGAATTGTGAGCGAAGCCGAGTCGTACAGTTCTACTTGAACTGCTCGGCGACTACTGGGGCGTGACGATATCCTTTTCGTCGGAGAAGAGGAGCGTTCTGGTGTTGTATGTGATGAACGTGTCACTGGAATCACAGTTGATCCCACATTATCGCGAACCTGAAATTCCAGATTGATGTCCTTCAACTAACCTTTGTTGATAATGTTTTCAAGAGGATCTTTTCACAGCTCATCATGCCTGCGGCCTTACATCGACATATTACGCACATTCCGTTCCACCAGTCTCCAGTCTAGCTCTACCGGTTCTTCTTAACGAGAGATGTAGTTTGCACAGCGCCTCCATCCTACTAGTCAAATGTTGCACCGAGTAACTGATCCCGAAGGGATGGAATGTTCGATTGCCTGAGCGGAACCTAGCAGAATTACAGTTGCCTGATCATGCGTGGTGAAGCGGCTCTACTTTGCTACTCATAGCAAATGCGTCATGCTCAATAGAAAATAGAGGACTTCTGTCAGGATATTCGCTTTTTTGGCTGCACAGTGCAACATACTGTTAGTTACTTACAAAAATGGCATTCCTCCATTTGAAAAGGGCTGGGACCCTGCTAGATCAAAGGTAATAGAAATCCCACAATCTTACCAGTCCCCATGAAAGTGTATTTTCGGAAGTAGGTGAAATGGATGGCTTATTATCGAGTTGATTGGCTTTTCGAGCTGGAGTTTGCTTATAGAACAGCACGTTTGATACCAACGACCCTCAGCACTACCCCAGCGCAACCCTCCGCACCCCGAACAACTCGTTCAACGCAGTTTGACAGTCAGACTCAGCGATTATTTTTTTGCAAACCATCGAGGGTAGTAAGGCACAAGGCTACTTGACACTTACTTGCACTACAGCTGGCTGATGAAGCTCGCCCAATGATCGCCTTCTTGTATGAGGGTCCGCCACGCTCACCGTGACGATAGGAAATCCACGAGGAGCTGAATGTGATGCGATACGAGCTGCCGTTCGTGAAATCGGTTGCGTCATGCGGCGACCTGATGGCAAAACAATAAAAAGTGGTAATAACAACAGCATAACAACAATTTTATAACTGAACATTAATCATCTGTCTTAATTAGGCATGTGGTGGCAAATAGAAGAGAAGTGAGGACGGGGTTCCGATTCAAGGGCAGTCGGTGTACGAGTTGAGGGGGTTGATAAAAAAGCATTAGTGGCGATTGTGTTCAGGACCTGACAAATTATTCTTGTTTGTGAAAAGAACAATTACCGCCAGACGGTCGAAGCCAACCTGACGGCAGCCATTGCACTGAGTACGACTTGGGCTGCCCTTCTTTTAGAGGCACTGTTGGAAAGTCAATCTTATAAATGCTGCATCCACATCCGCATGAGTGGGGAAAATTATTGTTCCCGAGTACATATTCCTCTTCTATGAAGTAGTCCAAGCTATGTATTCGTAACTCTTCCAAACCTACCACTGTTGTCGCCGACTTCACGAATTACTCGAACCGTTCGCTTATCGCCGTCACTCAGACGTTCTGTAGTTGTAGTTGTCTCACAGCATTCGTCTCCTATACGATCTTCAGGAGTTCGTCGAAGGATATCAGCCGGTGCTCGAAAATCATAACGAATTCGATCGATTTGCACCTTCCTCGTTGGGCTGCTGAAAAAGTATATATTCCAAAAAGATCTAGCAAGGCGACTCTGGAGCGGAACCGAATGCCACAACGATGTGCTACAGCAATCGCCCAAGTGCGAATGAACTTACAAGTTTCCCTCGGTACTGCGCGATGGTTGTTGGGCATTCAGAATGACGGCGGAAATCGGCACTGAACGAGATCGTACAGGGCGATACTGAAATGGAATTGATTTCATTGCGCTCCGTTCTAGTGTTAAACTCCCAGAGAAGATTGCTCATGAAAAAGGTCAATAACTGAATTCCTCATGAGCTTCAGCAGATTTCTTCGCGATCATCTTTGGCTTACGGTGGTAGGTTTTTCCAGAAAAGAAATGTATTTTTGAAGAAAAGTCAGTTGCACGGCGTACTTCGAGGATATCAACCAGTTCCAACCACACTACTGACTATTCTCCACTAGGAGATATCTGGGAACAAACCACTGCCACAAGTCAGCTACTTTCGACATTCTTCTACTGGAAGGCACACCTCACGATGATTTTGAGGTACCTTTTTTGAGTTTAAAAGCGTCCGAATCGCTGGAGGAAAGAGCATGGCAGAGAGAGGAAGAAAACTAGGGACTTTACGAAAAGTGAAGCCTCCTTGAAGTAATGAGAACAAGGATCGTACGAGACCACCACGAAGGAAGCGGCATAGAAGTAAATTTGGACGAGATTTCAGTTGCTCTAATTGCGTACATAGCTCACTAAATTGAGTTCAAAATGTCCAAACTCCCTTCCACGTCGCCATGGGACACGACTAGTTGTCTGAACTTCCAAGGTGGGTATTGTGAATGGCGCAGCCTCTACAAAGTCGTTGAAAATCGTTGGCTTTCATCTATGGCATGCAACCCATGATATCTTTGGGCCCTTATGCTTAAGCCCAACCCAGACCATTTCCCAATCCGAGAGCACTACATACGGTATTTGGGAGACCCCAGATTCATCTTAGGAAGGTAGTTAGAAACTTTTTCATCGTGAACTGTGACCTAAGCATCTACCATGATTTCCAAGGAAACACGTTCTACGTACCGAAATCAGAACGGACGAATTTGGGCGGCTTTCTCGAAGGAAAGCTAGCATAGATGCGAGGTAAAACGCCAAGAGGTAAGTCGACAGCGTTCGAAATGCAGATTTCTCAGAGTTTATATTCGGCAGTCAGAATGACTTTTGCTACTGTACAGATGGATGTTCGTTACAAAAAGTCGCCATCATACAACTCATACGAGGAATGTGCCCATTAATCACCCACACCTATGGGGAGCTTTTTTTAATGGACTCGAGACGATTGTCCGGAAGTGCAGTTTACGAAAAAAACGATCAAACCGAGTCCGTCCGAGGCCAATCTTCTGCCTCAAAAGTCGTTGAGAAGGTGAAGGCAAGTGGGATCTTGGCAATGTAAAGGATAAAGGCACAAAGGTCGAAAAGCCAGTCCCACCAAAGGCCTGAGGTTTTGTCTACAACGTGTCGTTCTTGTGAGGCTACCTACTTCACCTGCTCATTTTCTTCTTATTAAAGCAAGCCGCTTACTTGGGTAATTCAGCAAATGCGAAATTTGCACGTTGTATGTTCAAGAGCCTCATAGAGTGAGTAAAAACATCGAAAAACAAAAAGTATCGTTGAAGTTGAACAAGTTACGGCAATGGTAACATCCAACTGCAGCGTTTTTCCTTCTATGGCGATTGAACGGCAGTGCCGGTGGAGATGCAGGATGTCCAATGTATGTCCCTTCCCGTACGGTGTGCCATGTAAGGTTCCAACATACGAGTTAGGTAGGCGTAATCGCATCCAATGTCTATTTCTCAGTAGTCTTGTAGCCTCGACTTCAGAAATTGGTGATTTGCAATCTGGATGAGATACCTGGATGATAGTGAGGCGGCCAGGACTGCTCATTATGAATGGACCACTAATTTGGGAATGTAAAAAATTGTTCTTGAAAAAAAATGTGTTCTTGTCTCTTGCTCGTCCATGAAATGGATCGACGTTGGTGCCGTAGGAAGCCCTTTCCCCTTCATGGCAACGTCATGGGCAAATGATTAGCAAAGACCGTTCGAACCGCATACGGCAGCCTCTCTAGTTGAGCACGCCTGAACAGCGTCTGCGATATGGCAGGAACCAACCTTTCCAAATGTTAGAAAGCACTTTTATTACTCGTTCGAGTTTAACGACAATTCGAATACAGGTTTCTGCAAGAGAACTTCCAAACTTGTTCTCCATGCAAAATCACCACGCACATACAGTTGGTCGAGGCGAAGAAACAACTCCAGTCCGTCGGTAGTTCAGGACACAGAACGCGACAAAAATGGTCTCTGAGATATTCTTCTGTGAAGTATCTGTGCCCTAATAAGCTGTCCATCAGACGTTGTTGGCTCGGGAAACGGCTCAGACAGGGGGCAAAAAGGATTCGAAAAGCCGGGGTGCGCTTCGCTGCGCGCGTTTGAAGGTACTGTAGCGTCATCTCGAGACCTCGGTGGTGTGCGACGCGTGCGAAGTGGGCGGGGTTACCTACTTTCGATGGACGCGCGCAACGGACGTTCGCCGACCACTCCCAGAAACGGACGTGTTTGACTACAGGCTACACACCTATTCATTCATACCAATGGCATTGGAGCACGTTTGCTGAGAATGCCATCAACTACCTAAAACTCGCTCTTCAATGATCCCCTTCTGTAGTAGAACTTCGATGGGTGAGTGTCGGAGAAGAATAGGGATTGCAGCAGAAAGCAACAATTATAAAGTCGTGGTAGCATGAATCCATCATCATTGCGTAAGTAATTGTTGAGACCATATAGGCATTATAAATACCATTAATAGGTAAGATTCTGAATGATAGTTGAATGTGGAGGCCTGCCGAAAAGAAGATTGATTGACGCCCAAAAACTTCATTGTTTTGAACTTCTAGATTCCACGATTTCTTTAAAATCACTAGCTTTTTTTTGCCGGCGATGCATGACTTCTTCACTTGAGGTGTTCCTCATCATAAAAACGATACCTCAAGTTACAGCAAATGATGACTTCGTGGAACGTGCAACGTGCTCAAAGGCTTACGCAAAGATCGTAGGCTGTCACAAAGATAGCCATATTTCGATAGACTAGCTTATTGTGAAAAGAAAAAAGGAACAGTTAGCTAGCATCGACGACAATGAAGGAATACACGCACTAAGCATCATATCTTCTAGAAAAATGTCTTTTTTCAAAACACCTTACCTCATCAGCTGTTATGGTGTTATTGAACTGTTCACGCCTCTTTTGTACCAAGCCTTTTGGGGGCGATTCCTTGTCACGTATCATGGTAGATTCGTAAGTTGGCAGCGACGACGACACGCTGCTAATCGATAATTGGCTGAAAGATTACGGTAAATTTTCTGAAATGAGAGCCCATTACAGCACACATCGAAGATACATAGGTAGCAGCCGTATTCAGGGACAGGCTCGGAAGGGGTCTGAGAACGAGTTAAAGCTTGGTGAAAATGAGTGGACCCCAAGACATGAGGACTTTTTGAGACCTTCTTAAGTTCTTGATACTGTTCTAGACAGCAAAACTCTGTGAACAGCTCACAGACCTACAGAATCTACTTTTTTCTGCTATCCAATAACTTCCCGTATCCAAACCGAACTCCACGTTTCTTTGGAAGGATGGGAAGTTCGTAGTGAAAGGAACGAAAAACGTGCTTATTACCAGTCGGTTTGTTCAACCTCAGAATGAGAGAGGCAAAAGAGTTTGTTCATCATTAATCCAGTCACAATACTGCATACAAATAGGTTTTTATTACCAAACAGCACCTCATAAAAGTTTGTGCTATCCATGAAAAGCTTTTGTTTTCATTGCCCACGGATGTGGTGTAGGTGGATTGACCGAGGCTGATTTTTTTGTAGGGAACCCTTTCAAGTAGGCATACCACAAAGTGGGGAAGGAGGCTTTTCTAATGGTCATGTTGAGATGCCCACATCCCTCATCCATCATCTGCGCTGATGATTCCATGGGTTACACCTAATCAGACCCATTTTTGACCTTTTTTCTTTGATTTTGGATTGAAATAAGTGTGGCGAGCCAATAGGAAAACGGACAGAACACAAAAGGTAAACAGAATGAGAAACAAAGTTATGTGGGCACATCCGTTTCAAGGGCTGCATGACTAGAAAGGTTGCTGAGAGTGTTTGAATTAGGACAGACATGAATTTATTGAGCGTTCTAAAAATAATTATGCGAATATAAATCATATGATATGTGATCAATGCAAAATCCTGGTATAAACCCATTCTGAGTGCAATTTCACAGAGCGTTCTCTAACCAATCGACCATTACCATAGGTAAGAAGTGCGGTAAAGATTGCTCGATAGCAGTGAACGCCACTTACATACCACCGGCTACTTGCATGAGCTGATTACAGCAAGAGTTAGAGGAAGGAATTTTTATCACTGTATATACGTTTCAAAGATGCCGACTGATTGGAAAACTCGTAAACAAAACTGGTTTCGAGTGGATGCGGTGGTTGACCAAAGCTGAATGTCTTAGTAACTATACGTAAAGGGAAACAACGCTACGGCCATATCGAATCATTCGATTGTCGATGGCATTGGCGTAATGAGCAGTCAAGATTCTGGTGTCCACAAGTTTCGTGCATAATGTTTAATGCTTGAAAACAAGTGGGGAAACCCGAAGCATATTTGGATGATATGGGAACATCTGGGGTGGTCCTAATGTCACCTACATTACTTGCAGTAGGGCAAGTTGAAACTGTTCGGGAAGACCTTGAAAAAGTCGTGGCTTGATCGGTTCATAAACCTGATTTCGGTGATAATCGATGCCACACGACACATATCAGAAATGTTTGGGGCACATTGACCCCATTATCCGTTATTACGATGAGACACAACGTAATCAACTGAAAAGTTTCAGTGAACTGCAAGTTGAAATGCCCTATTTCAACTTTACGAGCTTTAGGCATCATAAGTTACCACTTCGGAATCACGAATGGGTAAAGTATCCCAAATTTGCGCCTAGAGTCTATCGAAGGAACAAGGCCTCCGTCACATTCGTGGTCTCAAGACCAATGTTCAATTTCTTGAAGCGTGACCCAGTCCCCTTTCTTTTCAAGGATGATCCAATAAGATCAGATTTGTCTTGGTGATAGAACACTGGCTGGTTTTCCCAGCATAGAAAGAGAACGAATAAGAAGTAAGTACATGGCGCATTCTTGGCAAGAGACTGATTTGAGCCAATGGTTCAATATGTAGACTTCCATGACAGAGCAACAAGCCCCTAAGACATCAAATCTGACTCTATCAACAAGAGTTTTGGTTTGAGTTCAGAGTTTTCATGTACACAAACCTCAGCCCGATACAAAGTGCCACAGACCCTTTGTCAAGATGCCAAAGGTTGGAGAAGTAATAGTGGCTTGTATCGAGCTAGGATAATCCCCTATCTTAAACGTTCGTCCGTATGAAATAACCCACATGTCTAGTGATTCCTTACATTGACTAGCAAAGTCAGGGCATTTCATCCCTGATGACGTGCGCCACTGCATCTTTGCACATCAGCTTCTGAAGTGGGCTCCCTGGTCTGCATATGTTTCCTACATAATCCGGGAAAAGTTCATCACGGATGCAAGAGATAAACAAAAACAAAAAATTTTAAACAATGGAGAACTCAGCACACACAAAGGTGCGAGAGGTATATAAAAGTTGAGCTGCACAAACACAGAGTGAAGGCCTGGAGTGATTCAGCAGAAGAGTACCCCGTTCTAGCTCAACTCTGGTGTCCCGGAAAACACACAATGATGTGAAAGAAGTGGAACTTCGCGCAATCTTTCTAAGATGCCCCGTACATTTAGCTCTCTCCAGTTTAAGGAAATATTTCAAAACGTATGTGCGAAAGATCAGATCATTCAAGGGTCCTCGGTTCGGTAGAAGCGGTGACAGTGAGGTGCAAAATGATTGTAAGCAGGGTTGCTGATGTTAGAGGGGCACATTCTCTGAGGCACCTATGCCCTCCTTGAAGAAAAGGATCATAACCTTGCTCGATGTCTATGATGGAAAGGTGTCCACCATAGAAAGCGAGCAAAAGAGAGTACAGGCTCAGATAGTCAACCTTCAAGTTTTTCTAGAAGTGGTGGTTCGTTTTACATAAAATCAGAAGAATGAAGACGTCGTTTATCACATTACAGAAGTAGTATGCCGCCACTGGCGCAGTTTTGAGCCCAGGGCCAGTAAATCAGTAGCCGTCGCGCCAAACGGTCTCCAGGGAAGTCCGCGACTCCCTCCTCCTTGAGAAATCTGCACTAGCCGTTCCATAATACTTCCTTCAACTGAGCTGCGGTGTCACCAATGGTATTCCAACTTTAACTTTTCAGCGATGTCAAAATCCCTTTGATATGTTGCCGTTTTTTAAATCGTGCTCTTTGCTAGCAAGTAGTACATACTGTTTACCTCCTTCTATGGCTAGGCCAATTCAGAGTAGTTGCTTTTAGTTTAAAAGCCGCGAGTGCAAGTAGGGTTGACCCAAGCTACCACTGGCCATTTGGTATTATCACTCACTAAATTGCCCTCTTACAAATGAATAGGCAGAATGGCAGCAGTTGAGGATTAAGCATAGTAAGCCTATGCACTCATGGAGACCTCGCGTTCTCCTGCAAAGACTATTGTACAAAAAAGCGATTATAGTGCCACTGCAAGTTAGGGGTCCAGCTCTGAGATAGTCTTAGATGTGACAGAAATGAGTATGAAAAAATTTATGGAAGCTGTCGAGGAATTGTGAATCAAATGGAATGTTAGAAGGTTTGGGTGAGAAATGGACTTTTAGAATGGCTCTTTTAGGCATTCCTAGTAACTTAGTATTATAATAACTTCAAAGTTCACCTACAAATTTGTTTCCCTAGTTCGAAACAAAAGAGCAACAGAGAAAGATAGAAATCTGATGCTCTGGGTAAAAGTTGCTAGTTCAAAGATAATTATTAAAAGATCAAGAGGTTCGTAACCAAAAAAAAAGTTGTATGAAGTCAGTAAAATCGCAATAACGATTCGCTAATGGCAAAAGTTTGCAGTAGCGTTAGCAGACATTCACCATCCGATGCTAGGGGTCAATTTTGACACGGCGGCTTCACAGAGTCTCATATTTGAATAATCCCGACAGATATGCAAACTAAATAGTGCATAGGTGTGAATTTATGGAACGCACGTTTGTCTGAATTCATCGGAATTCCCGTTCGCTCAGAGAATTTTCTCGACTGCAAAGTTCTAGAGCTTCGTGGAACGAGTATGTATGTATGTTGAAAACCTACCACTTCGGGAAGTTACTGAACAGTAGCTCTTGTACTAATAAAAAATCAATATTAGCACTATTATACCGGTGTAACAGGTGATATTGCATCA